ATTCCTGCAGCATCATCCCCCCCCTAAGTTACTATCTTGAGGTTCCCCTGCAGCATTATTCCTCTCAGGATGTTCTCCTGGGTGCTCTGCCCCCCATCCACCTCCTTCTCTGGTTGTTGTCCCTCTTGCCAGACAACAGCCATTGGTGGCCAAGAACAGGGAGCTCTTGGCTCCTGCAGAAAACATCCTTGGAAATAATTTTGGGTGAATTTTGCAGCATTTTTCCTCAAAGTACCAGTTTAGAACGAGGTGCTTTTCCCCTCTGATCTCAGCCTGAAAAGTTCTAACGAAGCATCAGGTGTTATAATTAAGTGGGGTAAGAAGGAACCTCCTGGTGCTGTGGCTGGTGGCACCTCGGGGACATTGACAGGTCCCCAGGGCAAGGCAGTGGACCCGGTGTCACTTCTTTTTAAAGAATGATCTCTTCCTAAATTATTAATATGTGAAGTTTCTATAAAGCATCGTTTCCCTTCATCATTTATAAAGAGATATTTCTTGTTCCAGCAGCTCCCTGTGGTGCCCCAGGGATGGAGCCCACCCCGTGATGGTCCTGCCCGACCCCACACCCCAATACACCCCCTATGAACCTTGATCATCCCTTTGGGATCATTTTGGGTGGATTTTTACCTCTGGCTGTACTGGGGAGAGGACATCTGTGGTGGTGTCTGCTACTGGGTTCCCTCTGAAGGAGCCACCACCCCAACAGGGGGATGGCAACCAGCAGGTCCACCATGGAGGAGTCACCATCCTGACGTGGGGTTGCCACCACCAGGTCCTCTCCAACACTGGGTTCTGGCAACTGGGAGCCCAGTTTGGCCTGAGCATCCCCCTGGGGTCATGGGCCACCCCATGGGGCTGCACCCTGGGGATGCTGCTCCTCACCTTGCTTGAACCCGCCGGCCCCGGCCAAGAGGGTGAGAATTTTCCCTTTTAAGGGCAAAGCTGCAGCTCTATCTTCAAATCTCTCCCCTGCCTTTGAATTTCTTTGTGCTGCAGCCATAACGTAACTGAAACCAGGATTTTTATTTCCCTTTTTGATTTATTACACAGCCAAGCTGGGATGTTTTATTTCAGATGGCACCAGCTGGGGCTTGGCGGGGGTGGGGAGAGAAGGGGGGACCTGCAAGGGAGCTTCTTTAATTATAGGCAAGAGCATCCAGGACTGGATATAACTTGGCACTGGGAGGACTGGGAGTGGAGAATGACGTGTTCCCTGATTGACCATAAGCTTTATTTTTTATGTAGGTTTGTTGGGGTTTTTTTCCCCCCTCCCTAACTCAGTGGAGAGAGGGCTGGTGTTGCCAGGTCTGCCTGTGGAAGTGGTGATCACTGCTTGGGGATGTTGGGGCTTTGGAACATCCATCCCATGTCACAGGGATGATCTTTGTGCCCGTCTCCAGCAGGCCGTGCTGGGAAGGGGTTAATACTGGGGTCTGGCAAGTGTGCAGCAGTGCTCCCCCAAAGTGTTCTCTTGGGGTTCAGCATCCCTACAGCATCATCCCCCCCAGGATGTTCTCCTGGGATCCAGCATCCCTGCAGCATCTTCCCCCACAGTGTTCTCCTGGGATCCAGCATCCCTGCAGCATCTTCCCCCCAAGACATTCTTATGGGATCCAGCATCCCTTCAGCATCACCCTCCCCTCAAGATATTATCCTGGGGTCCAGCATCCCTGCAGCATCATTCCCTCCAGATGTGCTCCTGGGGTCCCACATCCCCAAGCATCATCCCCCCAAGGTGTTTTCCCCATAGTTTGGGAGTGGCTCTGGCAGAGGTGAGCTCTGCCACGCTGGCTGTTTGCTGGGTTGGCCACCTGACGTGTCCCTCCTGGGAGAGGTAACGTGCTGTTCTCCCTCAGCAGCAGCTCTGTTTGTCCTGGGTGCTTTCCAACCATCCTCCATGGGGCTGGAGCTGGCCAAGCCACCCTGGATGAAGGAGAGCTCCATCACCTTGTGTGTGATGCTGGGCACGAGCCTTTTAATTCCCCAGGAGCCATTAGCAGCACATCCCAGTCTGAGGGCCATGGGAAGAGAGGATGCTGTCCAGAAAGCAAGAGAAAAAAAAAACAACCCACCCAAAAAAACCTCAAGGCAGAGAAGTTTTTCTGCCTCCCATCCCATCCCATGCCCATCCCATGAGCCACTGGGATGGGCAGCACACGTGTGCACACCCACGCACACGCGTGTGCAGCAACCCAGCACGAAGGGTGAACCTGGGGTGGATTTGGGGTGAATTTGGGGTCCATTTGCTGCTGGGTGAAGGGATGAGCAGGATGCCAGGCTGGCAACCCCTTCTGTCTTTCTTTCCCCTGCGGCCAAATCCAGCGGGGGCTGGAAAATGAGGTATGTTCCCTGCCAGGCTCTGTTTGTTGACTTTGCAGCAGTCGGGATTAAACAGGAAAATATTGATTTAAATATAGCACCTCACGGGAGCAGAGGAGTCGTGGGAACGTGGCCCCCAGTGCCCTGGTCACTGCCTTCCCCACCTGCTGCTCCCCGAGCGGGGCGGCTGCACCCCGGAAACGTCCTCGGGGATGGAGGGGGGATCCTCCAGAGGGGAAAATGGGGGTCACCTTCCCAGGGATGCTTGTGGCAAAGCCCCTCATCCCTCCTGAGCACCCTCCTTCCCAGCTCATCCTCCAGGAGCTCGTCCTCACTCCTGGGGACAGCTGGAGGGTGGGATGTGTGGCTGGATGTTCCTTGGCCAGAGTTTGGCACCTTTGGACCCGTTTGTGCCTCCGTTTCCTTTCCATAAATCTCCCCAGGAACCAGGATTTGGGTCACGACTGGGACTTCTCTCATTTTTCAGCCTTCCTGGCAGTCTGTAATTAAAAGCTGTTGTGGGGGGAGGGTGGGGGTGGGTACATCCTGGTTCTCCTCTCCTGCGCCGATGGTTTTGCTGGGAAACACTGGGGTGGGGGGAAACTGAGGCACACAGGCAGCCCCCCCCTGCCCTTCAGAGGGAGGTGGGATGGAGCCAGGAGAAGCTGGAGGACCTGGAGGACCCACAGGTGATGCCACCTACAGCATTCACCCCTTCCCTG